ACAATATAGACTGAAATAGAGCATATATCCCGATCCAATAGCAGGCCTGTCTACTGATATATTCACAACATCTTATTGTTACTTCCGGCTGCTACTCCCTGGCCAGATGCTGCCACTGATTGCAAGCTGAAAAGCGCCACAAGCCACCCGAGCTTTCACCCATATGTTATTCTACTCAATTGAAGATGATTCACTATTAATTACAGTAAATTTATCACACAATAAACCAGGTATTTTTACCCAGAGTATATTTCAACAATATGATTATGTGGTCTGTCTACAGAAATGTTTCTGTCTGATGGCCGAGTTAAGCAGTTGCTTCTTATGAACCGTATCTTCTACAACCTTTAAAATGCAAATACACAAAGTCGTGCTGCTTTTTCAGAGATATTCTTAAATAAATCATTTGTCATTCTGCTAATCTGTCAGGCAGTGACTCTCAATAGCAGTTACACCGTCTAATATTCTGAGCTCCCTTCATAAGCTGTACTTCACCTTGCAAAAGTCTGCTTCTTAACTCTTTCTAAACCCTCAGATCCCCTCTACGCTTTCTCCCCCATGTATATTCGATGTGCTACACAGCCAAGGCTTACTGCGGGTGAATCATGTATTATCCCTTGTCCTCTGCTCCTGCTCTTACATCTCTCCTTTCCTGTAATTTCATTTTCCAGTAGGGCTGTCAGGCATGTGGAAGAATCTGTCTACCACATGGTGAGGGGAGCAATGAACAATTGTATTATGCCAGTTGGGCCACACATCCCACACAGCATCTTCACAATTGGCCACAAAAATAATGAGACAACTATTTAAACAGCTCTGATCAAACAGGAGTCAATCAAACAGAAACCATGAACACAAAGAGGGGGGAAAAAATGTGTCTGCATGAGAGAGATGCACACAGCGAGGCAAGACTGCAGTCATCTACCAACACTAGAGTTTTAAATAACAGAGAGCTGAAGTTGGACGCTTAGGTTGATGAAACAAGCTCATAATGTCTGATAGAAGGGACTAAGCATGGTGATAGCCTTATATTTAATAAACACATATAATACAAACGGAAGTGCTCAAAACTCTGTGAGCCATCCACCTTTTTCACACTCTGACCCCATTCCCTTTATTTTCATAGTTACATAATCCATCTACAGCCTCCCCTCTTTATGACCCCTTTGCTGCCTGCTGCCCATCAACGTTTCTACACTTTTAAAAACTCTCTCAACCACTCTTTTCTAAAAGGACCTTTAAACAGGAGGTCTATGAAAAACACTTATGCAGGCACAATATAATGCAGATGATATCCATGATCTCGTATGCACCCAGACCAAACCAAAGAGGTATAGCCAGTCTATGTCTCAGAAGCCTGAAAAGGGAAAGGCCTAATAAGGCAGTTCCACATGAACCATGTGCTTCAATCATTCCCCAAATGTTCACAGCCTGGTGTACACATGCATGCTCACACAATCACATACAGATCACTTGATTTTTGCAGATTTGTCCACAATTCCAAATGACTACTCATAACCGTCAATGAAAGACATCATAGCGAGAAACCCATCAACATCCCATTAGCAACTTTCAAGGATAATGAGTATGCAGTGTGGCTTTTAGAAACCAAATGATAGCTTATACTGTGTCTGTGTCACAGACACATGACAACTGTAACCCCTATTTATACTGATATTCACAGTGCAATAAAGCGTATAATTTTAGCAATGATATCTGGAAAAAAACCCTCATCATAGTTCGTCATTTTGTCTTATTCCTTTAATCTATTATTGAATTCTGAAATAATGCTAAATGTTTAAAAATAAATTTCAATTTCAAGTGGATATGTGTTAAAGATGTTGTGTATTTTCATCCCACTTACCCTTTTAGTCCACAGAAAATACTATTTTAGACCTCATAAAGAAACTTAATAACTGACAATAGCATGTTAAGATGGAGAGTTTTTCAGTGCATTTATTGTGTTTCCAGTCGGTCTCTGATATGCTGATGTCCTGCTGACTTAAATTACATTCCTCATTTATGCCATTATGATTCCCTGATTAAATTGCAATTAAAATTAATCAAAGGAAAATGTGTGAATTTATGATTCGCTATTTAGTTCCTAGTTCAAAGAAAATTCCAGATATTTCCCAAATTGACTCACACGTGTTTCTCTTTGAACATTAATTAGCTGAGCAGCAACAGCACTTTAAAAGAGGCCAGATGGCATTCAAGCTGGATTGGTGCTGTGGTCAGCTTAGGCATCCCAAAACAAGTTCTTCTTTGGCATCCAGTATACAGAAGCTGTCTGCCAGAGTCCTTGTACCTGTCTGCCTCAGTAATCTGCCAGAAAGCAGACAAACATCAGTGAGCCTTATCTCTACTTCTCAGGAGCAGTCAGGAAAGGAGGCACGCAAAAGTGGTCCAGGAGCAACACACAGAAGGAGCAGACTAAGACAGACTCTTGAATTCAATCAACGCGCAACACAAACAACTCATTAACACACATCACAAAGCACATGGAACTTATTCTGGAAAAAAAGGCACAGAGTTTATCAGACATGCGCCGTGTTTCTGTTAAGCAGGTTAAGAGGAATCTGCTACAGGCTATGGTGAGAGCATCAATGATGCAGGAAACAAAATGCAGCAAAGATTATTTTATGAGCATGACATCACAGGACAACTTCAACATTTCCAGTAAGGCTCCGCAGAAGGATTTACCCAGTGGCAATATTGAATGCTGTGGGTTGACACACACGGAGTGGCTATAATACACCATCTGCTCCAAAGTGATATTCAATACTTGCATCTCATGCAAGATTGCACATGTGGGCAATGAAATTGAAACCGTCTCCTCAAACTACTTTCCTTGAGCCAAAAGTCAAATTCTGTCAGTAGTAGATTTCACAAGGCACTGGTGCCTCAGAGAAATGCAATGTCTTTACAGCATACTGCGTGTTCTGGCATTTGTATTCACAGCGTACTGAAGCTGCCTGTGGGGGAGATGTGGTGGCTTAAAAAATATGAAATGTGTGTTATCCTGCATATGAATTGGGTTTTTTTGTCACTGGCACAAGAGTTTGTAATATGAAATAGGCTAAATAAGTGGCATTACTTTCAGAGGAGTTTGTACACGTGTATGTGTGTGTGTGTGAGTGAGTGTGTGCGCGAAGATATCTTTTGTTGCAGTATCTGAAAAGTTTCTGTTGGAGACATTTCTATCGTAAAAGTAGACTTCCTGTTGTTGGAAGTCTGATTGCTAGTCAAAGCTGGTGAGCGGCTTGTCACTCATCAGCTGATTTACCTTACAGGTCTGTCCAACTTAAATGAGCCTGGGCCGAAGTTGTCGCTAACTTCGGGGCTAATCTTTTTCGTTTTAATTAGCAGGGAGGAAGCAAGACATGGAAACTTGGAATGGATTGCTCCACCCCGACACACTAAAGTACAAAAGCCCAGCAAAAGAGGAGCATTTTGCACGGTAGCTATGCAAAATGTGGAATGACACACAAAAAGATACTTAGCATGGGAAAGTTCTGCTAAAAAACAGTTCTCTAAATTGTCAAGATGAGAGAAAGTAACTAAAGCTCATCCAGCAGGCTTGTTTAGACCACTCAGGAGAAGAAACCAGCAACAAAAAGCATGCAATCTTTTATGGATTCATTTTACATAGATGGATGAAAACCTCTCGGCTGAAGAAATCTCAATAAAATAATCCCCTTTCACGCAAACAGTGCTGAATTATAGTCCAATAAGCAGCTTTTATTTTCACATGCAAGTGCTATAAAAACATTTTGTTTCCCGCTTTTGTCCGCATTGTGGCGCTCACAGAAAGGAATGGAGAGTGTTTCACTGTTAGGTTGCTGTGAGCAATTTGGTCTGGACCCAATTTGGCCTTGAAGAAAAAAATCTCTTAAGACATTATATCACAGGGACAACAATCATTTATGTAGCAGCAAGTACTTCTCAAGCTGCTTTAAAGGACAACTTGAAGCTGTTATGATGTTACAGTTAAGTATATCATCAGCCTGTGACGTTCAGTGTGTGCGGGGGTTATTTCGTGGTGTCAAAATCATTCCACTTCTTGTTAACGTTCTTATTTTTCTTTACCCTGCCTAATCTGCTTCTAATTCAGTTAACATTTCAGAGAACTTGGCTAGATTTGACACATTCACCAATGCTTTTATTTATATTGTAGATAAAGCGAGCAATGCAGAATACTAATCACAACTTGGCTTGGCTTGGTTGTTTCTCTCAGTACCAGACCTTTTTGGAACCACTGACAAAATTGGAGATGTTGGCAGCTCTTCACTGCTCCATCCTGATGTTTTAGATTGCTGACACTTTTCTACCAAATTAACCTCTTGAATCCAGATATCCCTTTCTGGTAGTGTCAAAATTATGACAGACTTTTTAATAATCTACAGCACAATGCTGTCAAAAGTAGATCATCTCTTTGCTTGAACCACTGCTTTGTTTCAGTGATAAGATCTTTACTTTGAGTGAATTTTTTTCAAATATGATATGCTATGTATACAGGATCGCATTACAATGAAAAATAATTTGATGGCTGTGCAATATATGTACCGGTACATATTTTCTTTAAATTTAGCATGGCATTCTTGGTTACCTTGGAAACTTGTGGATCATTGCTGAAATTAAAAACAATCTAATATTTTTTAACAAAAGTCAACAAAATGTGTTTGTAATGATAGATCCAGGGTACATAGACATGGTATCAGGTATTAGGATATCTAAATTAGGCTATACAAATAGCCACATTTTTTATGTGGGCTCCCATCATTTTCATTAAAACATGTAAAAAGTTAAATACATTTCTAGAGTATACCCTCTAGTCACTCTTACATCAAAAGATGATGAGGTTTATAGGCATGACAGGCCAAGAGACCTTTGCCTAAACTCATTGTGATTCATTACGGCCTCCCTCTCCTTCACTCTCTGCGGTCGGTCATTGAATAGGGCAGGTGAGTGGCGGCTGATTACCAAACATCTTCTCCTACCTTTGATCTGCTGAGGTGCGAGGCTCTAATCCATTTTACAGCACAGGAGGCTGTCTGATCTGGGTGGTTGTGGTAGCCACTTAGCTTCTCCTCATCTCATATACACATGTAGTGTATGCCCCCGGCTCTCGCACAAGTGTGTATATACACACACACACACACACACACACACACACACACACACACACACAGTTTGGGCTCCGAACACTGCACAGCTACGGACACACACTGTAAGAGAGTCAGAAAAAACAAAAGAGGATGAATACGATTTTATGAGGCATAGACAAATGCATATCATCAAGGAGCGCGATCAATCTCACACTGTGCAGGGTTTTAGTAATACTGAGACATAAAGACATTATTTTGTTGTAGTTCCCCAAGCGTATCAAAACTTGCATAAGCGCACACATACTGCTGAGAGTAAACTATGTATTTCCGAATGCAACTTCAGAACAATGGTATTGCAATATAAATCATAGTTCAGGTATCAAATTCTGCAGTCCTATTCCTAATGCTGAGGAAAGCCATTGAGTTTGGAATGTGCACCGTAAACCATAGTTCACGGCCCCGTTTTGCTGATGGTCTTCTTTTACTGTTTGTCCCTTACTCAGCTAGATACCCTTCCTCTTTATATAGCGCATTCAACATTTTTCATACCGTCACTACATAACACTTTCAACAGGCTGTGGAACGTTTCAGCCTTCAAAACAAGGCCTAGCACGCAATATTGCAGGGCAATTTCCACGGTGAATAAGAAAGTAAATGTCACTTACAAGTTGAGCATTAATCTCATTGCGTTTTATTAATGGCACCCTTACTCAAAGGAAATTTAAACTTCTCCCCAGAGTAAACACTTAGCACAATGGTGAAACGTCACGGCAGATGCACAGCCTGTCATGCCACCGACGGTTCGCATATACAAACTACACACAAGCATGCACATACACACAAATGCACCAGTGACCTTGGTAAGTGCCAAGTTGTCCAGGTTCTCATAACTATTGTAAGCTATCTAAAATCACTGATTGTGATTCCAAGGTTGTACTTTTATGAATGAAAGCCACTTTGTGTCTGATTCGAAACTTTTTGGCTTCAACACCGTCCAGTAGTAGTCTTAAAAACGATGATTTAATAGACAGCGATGCATGCCACTGGACCCCGTGTTGCACTGATCCCAACTGAGGACCACTTTCATAAAGTGGCAATCCAACATGTGCACCCACTTCACACAGTGATTGACTAGGTGTGTGGAGGGGAGAAAGAAAGCAACGTTTGAAATTCTTTTTTTTTTCTCCTTTTGACAGAACTATTTCTGATTCGTTTCATGTGAACAACACTAAGAATGTCTTCCAGAAAAGACAGGAAAGTGTGCATCGTGATCCCCATATCTTTATAAGAATTTCATCTCCCACCTCTCCGTGACAACTGGCTACTAACCCTGCCTTCAAGTTTGGCTTTTCATAACAGCTGTAAGATGTAACCGTCCAATGTGGTTGGGCAATACTAACCAATTCAGACCAATATTGTGAGGTGGATTAAACCTGCATCAGTAGTCAGTTAACGCACTTCAGCTGACCTTTATAACTCTTGCAGCCTGCCCCATTTTTGAGAACTATAAGGGATGAAAATTAAATGACACCAATGCTAAAATATTATTTAACCTGCTCCCAAAAAAGGCAGCAAAGGGCAAAGGGGAGAGGGAATAATAGAAAACATGTGTGGGCAAGTGAAGATGTGAAACTGATGACTTTGACCGGTAATCATTTTATGTCATTCTCTGGTTCAGTGTATTTAACCGGATTGTTGACTGGAGTCTCTGCTAATGGCGACAACCAGAGATTAACCTGCGACGGTCTAAACACACGCTTGTATGAAACGGGTATAAGACTGAAGGGCTGAGAGTGCAACACATCGCCTGCACCATGTTTCACTGGGACATCATTTTTGTACAAAGAATTTGTGCCATCAGAAACACTTCACAGATGTTCTAATCACATACATCACATTAAGAAACTGATTGCATAAAATATGTACTTTAAGAATGCTAAACAATTAATTAATAATTCTTAAGCAAAATATCATTGCAGCAGAAAAATGACAGTTTCATATCTATTCAAGTCTCATATTTTACCTTCTAGGTAACCCACGTGCTAATATATTGTCGATAAACAATGGTTTTGTTCTGCCGGTTTGTCTTTGCAGTATTGATCTCACTATATTTGGCTGACTCCTCTGTCAACAACTGTAAAACCGATTACCACTGCAACTTTATAATGGTAGCAGAAAAACAAACACACTGATAGCACTGCTACTTTAACAACTTAGAGTTGTCTTGAAAGTCCTCCGCTTGCTCAAGTGAATTCACAGATGAATCCATTGCTGCATTCAAAAAACTGCTATATTCAGTCGGGGGAATCCGCTTGTCTTTAATTACTTGCAATGAGTTTTGAAGAATGTATGTATCCATCTTAAGATGATTTACAGTAGGCACAGAATTAAAGGTTAGATCAAATGAATATTTGAAGCTCTTGGAGGGATAAATAATAATGGGGAAACTTTAAGTGCTGACATATGTAAAGTTGCAGCAGAAAGGATATTGTTGCTGAATCCTGCTCTCCTCTCAAACTCATTTCCCCTTCGTCTTCCTCCTTCCTCCCCGTTTTTCCATTCTTCTCCCTGCCTTACAGCTTCAGGCTGCTGTATACAACCCAAAGGTACGGAATCTATTTCTTGTCCAACACTGTCCAAAGAACTAAATTCCTACTGTACTTGCTGCCCTTACCATTAAAATAAGCACTATAACTTTTACATCTTTTATGCATGGTAAACCTCTGTAACTGCCCAAGTTGCTCCCTGGTCACTATACAGTATAGCCGACTGCTCCTAATGCTTGAGATGGGTTAAATTCAGGGGTCCTATTTCACTACTTTATGCTGTGTTGTGATTTCATGTGAGAAAAATAAAAATAAATACAAAATTGCAATGACGAGAATCATATTCTCAGTATGGTATACAAGGAGAAATACCAGAGATGCTACTTAGGTTCTGGGCAGTCAATTTGTTTTTTTAGACCGTTTACAAATTCCCATTAGCTATTAGTCCACATGTTTACAACCTAACCACAATATATATATATATATATATATATAATTATGTTTGAAGAGAAATGGGCAATTATGTTTTGGTTAAAAAAAAAATATCTGCACTTTGTATGTTTCTGAAAACAATGTACATTTTGAAATATTCACAACCACCACATTGCAAAACTACATTATGAAAAGACCATATGAAATTGTTATTGTGTAACATCAGCATCGAGATGATTACCAATAGGCTTGAATTTGTCTGCAATCACATATTCTCAACAAAAATTAGGTTTGTAGTATTGTAAAAAAAAAAAAAAGCCAAATATTTATGCCTAGATAATATTCATGTAGTTTTAGAACCAAGTTTGAACTCTTTACCAAGCATTTTAAACACAGATCCTAGGACAAGGGCATAGGTAACGTTAACTTACCAAAGTGTACAAACAACTTTTTCCAGTTATTTCAGCCAATTTTTCAGTAAATATCAGTCAACTTCTGTGCTCCCCATCCAAAATGAAGCTCAGGCACTTCCATGTGGTAATCGTAAAAATAAACCACTAATGCTTATGCAAGACAACTGTTGTAGCTCAGTCGAGCTGTACATTACAATAGCAATCGCACTAATGCAATATCTTTGACATGTAATTGGGAAAAGAACAGGCGTGATTAATGAAATCAATGGTGGCAGAATTCCATTTAGCTGCTGTGCGTTTCAAGGCCATATTAGATGTTGTTAGTTAATCACACCTGTGCTTTTCCTACTTTGACAAGTCAAAATATATTTTTGTCACAATGCTTCTGCTGTTGCGAAGGTAGTTGTAAAGCTGCGTAGCTAACCCGAGATGGGAACATAAAACATGATTAATGTCCCCCATGTCGCTGCTGTTTATGGATGGCAATTGCATTGTGTGACTGGCAGATTGTAGTTGTTTTCCACAACAAAGCTTATTTATAACATTGAAAAAAACCATGCCCATCATTTAATGACAACAATTAAATGAATGGCATTTTAAACTACATGTGTTGAAGTGAAGATTAATGCCATTAATAAACCTTAATTATCCCATAATTAAGATATTACCTCTGCTAGGTTATGCCTTTGAGTGCAGTTGTTTGAGTGCAGGATAGCTCAAAATGTTTTAGCCGATTTCACTAAGATTCGGTGAGCAGTCAGGTAGTTGACCAAAATCCATTTTTTATTGATCTGTAACAAATATCCCATGATTATCTATTTGTTTGTGTAGTGTAATGCAGTGCTGGATTCTGATGCGTATTAGCGTTTTAGAGAAGTGAAACTGATTCTATTATCAACACAACACATTAGAGGAATATGCTGACTTAGCAGAGCTGTGCATACTCTCAGAGCTTTGCTCCCAGTTTTAAATTTCTTGCTGGAAGAAAAAGCAGAAACTAAGTGTAATATTAAAGCTGATCTGACATAATTTCCTCCAGGATACCGATACTACCTCTGGCTGCTTTCCATGTATCTAGGAAACTGATGAAGAATAAAAATACTATTAAAAAAGATATTAGTAATATACTTCCACTGACAACATTTCCTAATCATCCATTCAAACCGTGAAGTGAATGCTCATTCTCATGCGTGCTGGGTTACCGAGTTTGTTTGTGTGTGTTTAATGCGGGTTTGTACAGTATGTACATTTGTGCTTACATGTGCGTATGGGCATGCAAATATAAAGTGCCGTCATAAATTCTGCTTTTATCCCATGAATAAAATCCATCAGCTCTTGGATTGGATATATTTTTCATAAAAGAGATTGAGAGAAAAAATCTCCCCTAAAGCAACTTGATAAAATGCTGTCCGAAGGCAGATTTATGTGGATTTACTTCTTAACGTGTTGTTCTATTGTCAGGGCTGCAACAGTACATGACATATGCAGATTGATATTTCACCATGAAATCAATGGAATATGGAAAGGGCAAGAGAGTGGTATGGATTTTTCTGTTTTTGCTTTGGCATGCCCATCAATCCCTGTAGCTAATCTGGGGAAAGGGACAAACGGGGGCGAACGAGCAAGACAGCTGCTGTAGCTGAGGTGACGGGCTAGGAAGGTTTTGATTTATTTTCCTTTTATAGTACAGTATGGCGATCCACCACTACAAGCCATTTCCAGTAGGAAA